TCCGGTCCGTTTATTCTCTCCTAAACGCTGTTGTCATTTGCAATAACAAATAGCAAACAATCTCTTAATTTAAGCGTTTTCAGTTTAACTATGCGTTTAACATTCCTAACATTCCGCCATGTTTATCATTTTCCTTTTTCAAGTGTTAAGAGTATTCAGAAATACTGAGGCAAAATGAAAACAAGTATCTTAAGAAAACTTGACAGAGGTGATACTGCCAAAAATTTTACAACAATTTGGGCAATCACAATTTTTTCGTACAAATTGTGCTAATAATATAAAATTTTGCATATTTAAAAATAATTCAACAAAGTATATTTGCTTGGAATCTTTCGTTGAGGTCATCTTATGTCCGGACCCTCCCTTGTAAGAAAGACTGTAAGTTAATTTTGACATCATCATAACATCTCTACCAGGTGGATGTTGTATTTTCAATTAATTAAGGTTTTTAGTTGAGATAAAAAAGTCAATGGCACGAGCGGGATTCGAACCCACGCTCTTCGGCTAGATACGCCGCTGCTCTACCACTTCAGTTATCGTGACCTCGATCCACTCGGACACTAACTTACCATCTCAACCCCACCTTTTGAATTTTCCCTCCTTTTTGCCATTTTTCATGTGGATCGAGGTCACGATAGCTCAAGTGGGAGAGCAGCGGCGTATCTAGCCGAAGATCGTGGGTTCGAATCCGCTTGTGCCATTGACTTTTTATCTCAACTAAAAACCTTAATTAATTGTAATATATTAATTGGTCAAGCGGACCACGAAATTAGTGAATTTAGTTATATTTTCATTTAAACTTTATTATTTTAATATGATTTTTAGGGGATGTTACGCGGGAATATTAAACTAAGTAGCTGTACAGAGAAATAGAGTCAAGGCGTTAAAACTATTTATAACAAAATATTAATATTATGTCAACACCAGTGAACATTACAATGCGTACAAGCCTAAATGGTTACGATGTAGTTACTCAATATGTGCTGTGTTTATTTAGAGTGAAAAATTGCTGTGATTAATCACCAAACGTAATGCCTTCGGACAAGGGCAAAATGTCTCAAATAGCTTAATCGTGACAGTGATCAACTTAGCTACTCTAATTTTTCAAGCGCACTCAGAATTCACGCTCTATTATTTTATAATTTTATTACTGCCACATTGAACGATTCCGTATTGTAAGAGTTTAATGATTCTTCTATCGATTGATTCAGGTGTAATTTTGTTTGTCGTTTTAAAAATTCAAATCTTTCCGACGACAGTTGGACGTGATCACGTGTCCATCACCTACCCAGATGGATCGCCAGAAGGTCACTCAATGCCGGATCTATAATTTTCTATTGTTGCACAGATTGCCGTTGTTTCTTTTATTTTCATATCAGACAAGAACAACCGACGCCCTTGACATCCACCTGTTAAGACCTCTGCCCATTCACCATTACAAGTCAATGAATTATTCAGTATATATTGCTATTTAACTAGGCAAGCCCGGGATTGACCTTCTTTACGGTGATTCGATCCAAATCGATTTATGATTCCCGATCCGTTCAATTTACAAATAAAGACGGTGTAAAAGTTTTTGAAAAAAAGGCTCTTTTAGTTGGTGACATATGCGGGAATTTATCTGTGATGGAGGGAGACAGGGAGGACCATAAATAAAAAGGCTACAAAAATATCTACAATCAAACTATAATATTGTACTACCACTAGCACCGGTGGCCACAACGGTTAAAGCCTTGAGACAGCAACTCATCACAATCAGTTTCCCTGGTTCGAACCTCAGCGGTCCATGAGGGCTTATTTTTCAAAAACACCGGGATTCCGGGAGTTGATTATGACTTCTGCTGTTGCGAATCCCCGTGATAAAATCTGATAAGATCAATTTTAATAGATTATAAGAGATCGACCTGCATTAGAAATAACGTTTACGATGATCAGGGTGAGATCATCAACAGGAACAAAACAAAAGTTTAACATATTGTTCTGTGTCATTCGTTTGCATCAGCTTCAATTTATTCTAACATTATTATTTAGCTCTCGTTTTTGCTTATTTCATAGCGATAATGAATCAATTATTGATCTGGTCGTGCAAAATATACAATGTTTCTAAGGAGTTTTAATACAACTTTGAATAATATTATCTGGATACAGGATCAGAATATTTGCAAAGTATGTTTAACTTATCGGCCTTTTAATGTTTAAAAGCAATATTTTATTAAAATCTGCAATTTCTAATTACAACATGTAATTTGATGATGCACAGATTAACAACTATTTACATACATGATCGCATTGAGGGGGCAAATAATCAATATTCTCCCATTGTACTTCATTTCACTAGTTGATTACTATTCATCAGAAAGGAGGTCAAGGGCCCATTTCCGCTTGAGACGCCTTGCATGATTGTAGGGATGGTATCTGTTGGATTGGGCAAGACTATTGAGGTGACAGAAGAGTTACTAGGTAACATTTTGCAAAATTAATTTTTGAATTTACGAGTTTTAAGCTCTAAATCGGGATTAATAGTGGAGAAGTATCAAGTAACACGAAGTATTTACAACTGATTTAAGGACCTTACGTTGAAAGGATTAGACACATTTAGTTTTTGTCGGCTGCTGTGATTGTCGTCGTCGTAATGTTCGTTGAAGAATAGATTGTACCGTCTAATAAAGTTTTGTTGTTTCAGTGCGTATTCCATTATATTCCATGTTAAACGTGAGTCAAGTACCCAATGTTTTCTTCGGAGCATAAATATGATATGGACGCACTTGCTTTCATTGATTTTTATTTACTATTTTCTACACCATGCTGCTTTACATGGGTATCTCTGCGGATCGTCCGAAGCAGAATTTGGGTCAGAGTACTCCTGTGGCATCGGCAAAGGGGCAGCTGCAGTATAAAGCATTTAGAGGGTTGGTTCGTGCTAACTAACTCCCGTGCCAGAGAAAGTCGGTCAATGTGATCCTTGCCAGAAATGAAACCATCCTGAATTTGGAATTACACGTTTTAATGTGTCAGAAGACGCCACACGCTTTTGCTTTTTTCTTTCTTTCCACAAATTCTTTCTGCTCTTTCTGCTCAATGGAGGAGGGAGGTAATATCAAATAGATATTAGTATACTACGCAAAACACTTGCTACGGGATGGTGTAGTAGAACGTTAGAGAAGATTAATCGTGATAATATTCTTTTAAGAATCGATTCAATTACTTTATATAAGCTGGGGAGTAAAATAATTGAACATGATAAGGCCTTTTACACTGTCTTTCCAGATTTCAACATGATGGTGTTCGAATATTTCCAGAATATGGAAAAACGGGGACTGTAGAGGTTATGTGAGGATGATTTTTTTAGGGATTGGCTGGAGAATTCGGGTTGCAATTAGGTCAAAACCAGGAGCCTTGTGCTGTGAAACAGGACGAACAATAGTGGGCTTTTTTTATATATGTATAGACTTCGCGAACTCCCCCCCCCCCGTCCTCTTCATTTAAAGGATCCTAATTTATCCTTATTTTTTACTAATTGATTTATAATGTAATTAATATTCTATATACATATTAATTATTACAAATAGGACGTAATTTAATCTGATGGAAGTACAAGGGTTGAAAAGCTGATTTTTTTAACAAAAGGTTTTTTGTTTCAACCCTTTTGTTTGTTGGTCTAATGGTTTTTCCTAAAATTTCCTATATATAATCTCCAATGTAGCCCATTTCCCCAGTGCTGCAATCGAAATCGTTCTGATATAATAATGTGCTAATGTGTAAATAATAAAAATTAGTTATTTTCACAAATGTAGGAATGGATAGGAAAGGTTTGTTCTAGTTTTTCTTGCTATTGAAATTGTGGAACATCTGGACACCTTACAGTACTAAGGCGAATGGTCCTTGTTATTAGCTTCTTTCTTCCTCAAATTCCTCCTTATTCTGTCTGTGTCACTCTGTCTTTTGTTTGAAGTCTTTTTGCGATTAATTTCGATCACTTTTTTTTAATTGACGTAGTTTCTCAAAAGATGAACCGGTTTTAATCGATGAATACTTTTCGATCCAGTACTGCACTTAAATTTTGAAGATAGAAGGGGCGTTTCTATTCCCGTTCTTCCTTTCCAAAACGTATTTACTTTATAACTCTCCCAATGTCCACAATACAGGATGCTTTGCACCTTGCTAAAGTGTGTCAAGTTCGCAGCCATTTTTGGGTGCTCACTTTCATCCTTACATCCTCGTAGTGTTTCACCTTCAAAGTACATTACATCTATGGCACGACGTCAGGGATATAAGCTGGGTCAAAATTTAATTTTTGCGTATTATCAGGTGATGTGCAGCATTAGGGTTGAACATTAGGCATTTCGTTCTTAAATCTATCTGTTGTCAAATCAGTCTAATAGCTCTGCCTTATGTGTATAACTGGAATATGTAAGTTCGAAGATGTTTTTTCGCTCCAGTATTTCCTGTGACACCCTCCGCATAGGGAATAATCAAATATCAACTTTTATAGAATCGTTTTTCTAGTAAATGCTGAGCAAATATTTGATGATGTTGAGGTTCATTCAAGCAATTCAGCTTTGAACTGGCAATCCCATATCTATAGCAAGTGAAATTTCAAGACGGTTTGGGGTACATAATTAAATAAAGGATTATACATTCTAAAATGATATAAATTATATAAACAAAAGAGTCAAACAAGAGTTAATATTGTACTAAGGGTTTAATTATGTATTCATGAACAACAGGGTATCTCGTAACAACGCAATTTATACTGTTGTATTATATACATATGTATTATTTCTTTAATTATCTCGTTAGAGTATAATCTTACCGAAATGATGCCGAATATTCGCTAATTTTGTATATTATTACAGTCAGTTTTTATCTATATTCAGGATAATACCAATAGATTATACATTTCCAGGTGTGATCTTTGCTTTTAAGAACTACTGGATTATTTACATCAAGCCAGTGATTCCTAATTCATCTAAGAATTTGATTATTTACCTGGTAGATGTATTATTTTCTGCAGGAGTTAACCTGCGGAGGGTGTTGAATGGCAGTATCGGGGTACATGGCGTCATCATTATTACCAATGCCCTATAGACATCCATTCACACAGGGTGGCAAAGGGGAGGAAATAATAGAAACGAATGTCAATTATTTTATGCGAAATGTGGTGAAAGAGTGAGAGTGTCACTGTTAGTATAGGTTTCTCTTTTTCCCTGTCCTACGGAGTTGATCCACCAAGTGCGAGTTTTTAACTTAACCCGTTCGGCAATTGATCCTCTTTATGGTAGTTTGAAATTTTACAAAAGGGTATGGTTCTACTGTTCTGGTTCTAGTTCCTGAGGTCCCTTTCCTTGGCTTCTCCATCAACCTTTTCGTTACTCTTCTCCCTTGGGTGTTGTGGGTTAGTGTGTACTTTTAAATGCAGATATGCACAACCCAAAGCAGTGAAGATAGCCACTTTTTTACGTATATCATTGATGAGTTCATTCTCCAACTTTAAGTAGGAAGCCTGTATATGGCCCACCCATGTTGGACAGTGATTATGTATGACACATAAACCATTACGAGTTTAATTATCGTTGATATTCTACCTATAACTACAGAACATAAGTTTTATTTACACATGTATACATTGAATACCGTAGTTTAGTGGAATTTCTGTATAACAACACTTACCTCCATTTGTTTAAGGTACAATAAAATTACTACATTATTTGTCTTTTGGAAAAAAATATTAAATCAAAAACCCCGGTTATAGTGGCCAAATTGTAGGAGGGCGTTCTTTCTTCTCCTATAACTATGTAGTTATAGTTCCCTATTTGGCAGCATATTGTGGCTGTTTACTAGCCTTGCATTCCTTAAACAATTGATTATATCTCGTCAAAATCTATGTCGCATTGTGCAGTTCCAATATGTGCGTCGTGGTGTGTGTTATAAGCCTCAGAACAACAGAACAACCTGCAGCCTGATGACATTAGTCCTGGTAATGCAAACTTCATACCCATTAATTGAAAACCACTCATGCCGTCGTCATGACCGCAGACTAAAGAGGCATGGCCTAGATATTTCTATTGACAGCGACAATAACTATAAAACTCTTCAATCAACACTAATATTAGTAGTCTACTTATTGAGTGCAGTAGGTAGTTTCATCACTCTACGTAATTTCGCTTATTTTAAATTGTTGATTTGTCATAACATGGTTAGAATTTTTCGGACATTGGTAGTTGTAAAGAGTACATGCAGTGAGATGGTGTTGACAAAAAAAAGGAAACTTCATTTCTCTCGTAGTAATTGTTCATTGAGAATTGATCGCCTAGCGTAAAGATCGACCAGAGTGACAGAAAGAAGCGAAACACTCCCAACCATCACCAGGGACTGACTGTCAACTCGTGATCAAAACATAGCCTTGTAGGACGCTCACGTGATCATTGGAATAGGTGGTGCCATGATGGCCGCAGTCGATAGGCGGGGCTTGGTAGCGGCCATGATTATACCTCGCCTCGGCTGGTCCGTGCTGCCTCGCTCGGCAAACGGCCACAACAGGCGTTTCTCGTGTGAGTCGAAAGGATGCGCCTCTTGGATCGCGAGCTTCCATCACCATCATACTGAAAAGAATCAATATACCCCCTTTTATTCAACAGTAAAAACAACTATATAAACATCTAATAAAAAATAAAAAAAATAAAAACTTTTAGGCCTTATTATCGAATTATCGATGTTTTGTTATAAGTATACAAGGAAAATTTAATAAATTAGTGACACCACACAAATATTATTAAAATATGGGTACCCTAGACATTCACGATGTAGAATAAGTTACAATATAAGCGACTTCCCCGATAGTCTTAAGAGTAACTATTATTCTAGTTAAAAGACATTTTTAGAAAAAGAGTTTTTAAGAATTTTTAATTTATTTTTAAAATATGATATTCAACATTATAGTGATAATTATTTGGTATCGTGAGGTGTGAAAGAGCGCGAGAGAGAGAGAGAGAGAGAGAGAGAGAGAGAGAGAGAGAGAGAGAGAGACTTGAGGGCAAAGTGAGAAGGAGAGATGAGATTGTGTGTGTTGTGTACGAGAGTGAGAGAATGGAGAGGGGGGAGAGTGTGTGTGTGTGAGAGAGAGAGAGAGTGAGTGAGAATGAAAATAAGCATGAAATAAAAGTGAAAGTTAGAAAGAGGAATAGTATTAGGCGTATAATTATATATTTCTTTAATGTTTTACACCGTCGCCCTGATCGTCATTGATTACATTACTGGGTCAGTGTCGTTCTTACTACTTTATGTTGCGCTTATACAAGTTTCAGCTTTACGTCATCTTCAGTCAGGATAAACACATCGATGTATGTAGACTATGCGGGAGAGGAGATTGTTTGTGTGTTACGGAAAGTGAAAAAGAATGACTGTGCGAGTTAAATGCAGATGGTCTGAAATAGACAGCTTTACCGTGCGTAATGAAATTATTTCTCACTGGATTGCCCGAATGCGAGTGAAAATGAAAATGAAAAATTGTGTCTGAGCCGTTATTTGTGTTTTATGATAACGATCATTCACCTGTATGCGTTCCGCTTGTTTGCCCGTAAGTTTTGTCGAGCTTAGTCAATATTGTCCAAGCATATATGTGTCAAAATTTTCAGGTTACTCGTTTGTTCCACACTACGTCAAACGGAAAAATGTGCATTTTTTTATTTGCCGGGTTCAGTTTTTCTTTCGTCTATTTGTGCTGCCTTTGCAATATTTCTTACACTAATAGGTTTTGTGTAGTTGATTGCTAATACGATTCCCTCAGGAATTATGAAATTCTTTCAATTGTGACACAAAAGGGCCGAGTTTGTTTTGCTATTTTTCTTTTTTCTATTACTATAATCGTTTGGTTTTCGATGATTTTGACCTACTTATCTATATTCGCTGTTTTGGTCTGTCAGACGTATTTGGCGTCTCGCCATATTCAGTGCTTGGTCTGTCTGATAGTAATAAACATAATACAGCTTGACAATAATACAACCAACATCCCAAATTTTTTATTAAAGTTTTTTTTTTAACTTATTGACTTCTGTCCTAATATTGTAACCATACAATAAGCATACATAATATTGATTGGAATGATAACGAAAAAAAAATGAATTCCAAAACTAACACAAGAGCAATCCCAAAACTAACACTACTAGCTTTGTTTACAATGTTCAAACCCTTTTGAAATCCGGTCAGGTCTTTGTCACTAAACGTTTTCTACTGATTGCCATTAAAAACTCACATCACATTTCTTTTCGCATAACTGTTGTTAATTATCGCTATTGTCTCCTAACAAAAAATTGCTATTATGTTCAAGGATTTTTCTCCTTCTATGTACAGTATTTTGGGGCAGCTTTAAGTCAAATATATGCTGATTAAATCAAATAAATTATTGTCTTCGAGTGAATAGAATTGTTTACATAAATGTAATTTTACCTCAAATAATACATTTCACAAGGCTGTATGCTTTGTCGCGTGCTTCTGACAACATGCGGGAACAGGCGGACCAAAGATCAAATTCGGTCAAATATTTGTTAGAAAAGTGTTTCTTGTTTTGTCTCGTGTCGATTAAAAATCAGTTTTATTATTTAATAAATAAAATTATTTTAAAATTGAAATAGTTCGTAATAGTAGGTTCTTTGGGAGAGACACGTCAAAGTTATTTTTCCTGCCAGGATAGGCCATAGAATAAAAACTTTTGCGTTTCATTATATTACTTTTTCTACCTGGCTATTAAACAGTGGTCAGTCTTGCTGGAACTAAAGCCGGTCTGTAAACCACTGTCGTAATTGAAAAACGTTCCTTCGCGGCCGTTTATCCCGTGTCCTCGTTTACGGGTCGACATGCATCATTTGTATTCCGAGTCGTCACAGGTATTTCCCTTTGCGACCTTTGTCACCTCCGTTAAATTTCTGAAGAAGAGACAGAGTTTTATATATTTTGCACATTTTCACCATTTCGCCAGTTTATGAGGGCAAGAAAACCCAAGAGGGAGCAATAATCGGTGAAAATAGTTTTGTCCTTAACCTTTTGATTATCTGCCCCCGAGGCCACTACACTAAAGTATTTGTTTGAAGACGAATTTTGTTGAACTTGTCAGACCTCGGGTGAATCAAATTCTGGGTTCGCTATTATCAATTTATTGTGTCTTGTTTTTACTAGTTACCATGGAATTGGTGTTTATGCCTTCCCAGTATATGAACATTCTCAGGTTAAGAAGTAATTAGATAAATATCAAAACACAAACAACAATCAAATTAGAAAAGGCAGGTTTTACAATTAATTCTTATGGTTCCACCTCTTCAATTTATTTATTAATATTATAAAATATTATTTAATTAACTATTCAACTATTAACTAATTATTTCTACCAACCTGCCAACCTACAACAACCTTCCTATTAACTTACCTATCCATCTGCCTACCTATCTATATTTACATACTTATCTGCATACATGTCAATATACTTCTTTATTCTCTGACCATCTATTTTCCTACTTTTCTTTCTACTTACCTACTTCCCCTTAATAAACTTCCTATCTAATTATCTATCTAATTTTCAACATACTTAATTTGAACACCATCTTATGAACCTATGTTTCTAGTTTCTTTGTAGCCACCTATATCGCCTCAATAAAATTCCTACCTACGTACCTATCTTCCTGCGTACCTCATACAGTCCAACCTACCATGCATTGATTCAAATAAATTGTTGCCTTCGAGTGAATAGAATTGTTTACATAAATGGAATTTTAACTGAATTAAAGCATTCCACAAGGCTGTTTGCTTTTGGCGCGTTTTTGACAGCAGGCACAGCCAACCAGATATCGAATTCGGTCAAACAATGAAGAGATCAATAAAATTCCCTCATACTTACCTACCTACCTTCCTACCACATCTAATCTTATGTCCTTATCTACCTATATTCCAGCATAGTTAACTATCCATTATGTTTTAGTGGTCTAATTGATCAATTTACTTCTTTCCATTAATTATTCTTTTTATGTAAGGTTTCGGTTGAGATGAAAAAGTTAGTGTCACGACGGGATTCAAACCCATGGTGGATTCAAATCCCACTCGTGACACTAACTTTTTCATCTCACCCGAGATCTTACATAAAAAGAATAATTAATTGAAAGAATATTTAACTATCTTTGGGGATAAGTTCCCATTTCCCTACTTCCATCCTATTCTTAACAATCTTCCTTACTACTTACCTATTTATCTTCCTCTCTATGTATACTTACCACCTCCATTCCAACATACTTAATCATCTTGTTTCATACTTATTCATTTTCATTCTTTGTACGTCCCTTCCCCTCCTTCCTATCTACTTATCTGCCTACTAATTTATAATTACATACTGAGTACCAACAACATATTGTTCAATATATTTTTCCACCAACATAACTACTTTTAACAACCTTCCTCTCTACTTACCTATTTACTTTCCTACTTACTACCTACATCCAACCAATTTTTTCCTTTTCCTTTTTTTTTCTACCTAAGTACCTAACTCCTTAACATCCTTCTTATGGACTTGACTACCTATGTACTTACTTCCCTATCACTTTTCCTACCGTCCTACCTACTGTACTTATCTATACACCTCCTCACTTATCCTAATTAAACTATTATATTACTAGTCCTTTTCTATTTACGTACTTATTTACTATCCCTTGCACTTTCTCGCCTGCTTACATTCCAGCATAATGAGTATCGTATTTATGAAACGTAAAGTAATTTCTGCCGTATAGAAGGGTTTAACATCCAACTAACTATCCGCTGGGTTCTGTGGGCTTAGAGTCAGCATCAATAAAATTTTTTTTCCATATTATTGCCAATTAAAATTTCAAGGGCTGTGCCGAGATTACAAACTAAGATCCGTTAGCATGGCAAATACGAGTCGGACATTTACATACGGCTACCGTCCTTATATGTATATATATATATATATTTAATTTCCCCCTTACTATATCTTTAGAATGAGCAAATATATTTTATTAAAAGAAAGCTTTGTTGTTATTTCAGGTCCTGGTCGAATATGACGACAGAGAGTGGCAACGACGTGAGTGGGTCGCAGTTCATAAACCAGGCGTTTTCCACGCTTTCCTCGTCGAAAAGACTCTCGTCTGGTGCTCAAAATCCGATTCGGCGAGGAGTCCATGCAGCAATCTAGCTCCAGCACTTGTAAGTAGTAGAACGACAAGTTGCTTAATCTCCAAAACAAACAAAAATCTAAGTTCTATTGTATCATTGTGTACATTTGTAATTGAAGAGAACATTTTCCAAAACAATATTGAGTTAACACGTCTTGAACATCCTATGCTTAAAAGGAAGCAAGGGCGTTTAAAGCATTGGGGGGGGGGGGCTGTAGCAATTAACTCCTGGAAAGTTTGCCCGGGCAGATCCATATTGCAACAGGTCGGCCCCGGAGGGAGCCCGATGCCGTTTGTTGAACTTCTGCGGCGCAGGCGATGGCGTTTTCAGGAGGAATGAGGAAGGGGCGGTAATCCGTGGGCGGACCAATTTGTCGCTTTTGCCAATGCGGATCAAAGCGGGGGCGGCGGAGCGCCCGACCTTCAAAGAACCTTGGAAAGACCTTTCTGAAGGGGGCGGCTCCACCCAATTACAACTTTCCCGACTCGACTCTTTCTCAACTTTTTCATCCATTTGAAACCCTTCATTCTGCCTAAACGATTGAATATCACACGAGGGTGGAACTTTCCGCCTTGACTAATCACTGTTATAAATCTTTCTCTTCGCTTTCTTCCCCCAACCTGTCCTCGTCTTGTTTCCCCCTTTTTAAATAAATAATAAATAAAGGACATCACTGTACATTCCCCCAACGGTTCTCGTTCAAACTATCTTGTTATTAACTTTTGAAAATCCCTTTCTTCTCCCCTTCTCACCCCACACGTTAACAATCTTTGTTTTGTACCATTAGGCATTTTCCTCCTTCCTGTTAAGTAGCAACCGTTTGCGGTTAATGTCAATTCGTCAAAAAGAAGAATTTATTTATAGTATAAATTAATTTTTATATAAATTATGTCAGTAATTTCACTTGTATTAATGGTTTTAAACCGTCGTACTCAAAATAGAAAGGAATTCTATTTGAAAAAAAAAATCAATAATTGATAGTTCAGCTTCCTAGAGGAAAAAAACTGGCCTTTTAAGTCACAGACCTGCGATATTTTTTAGAAGATTTTACGTTGAACAAGATGGCTTTTTTAAAAATATTTTCCTAGCTGCAGTCATTTCATCAATAAATTAAAAAAATTCGGGGACATGTTAGTTTTTAAACTTTTTACAAAACTTCAAATTGAGCTGTGAAGCCAGGAAATCGTCATGTAGCAATCGATAGGAAATTTTAATAAGCTTTCAATTGGTCACGTTCCGCTTTGCCCGGTTTTTCAGCCGTTTTCAAGTTATTCGCGATTTTGGGGCAAAAATCGTGGTTTTTTAAGTGCTCATGGAAAAAACCGATCACTTTCCCAATTTTTAAGAATACATAAATTTTGACCAGTCATGGTTTTAAAATTCGCGAATAATTCAAAAATCCTTGAGAAATTGGGCAAAGTGGATAGTGCTCAAATGAAAGCTTATTAAAATTTCCTATCGATTGTTGTAGGTCGCAGGTTGAGGACTGGCTTTCCTGGCTCCAAAGCTCAATTTGAAGTATTCGTAAAACGTGCCAAAATTAACATGTTCCCAAATTTTTGAATTTAATGAATTCTGAAGCAAGAACAATATTAAAAAAGCCATCTTATTCAGCGTACAAGTTTCTAAAAAATGAGACCTAGGCAGGTCTGTGACTTAAAAAGCTGAGAAAATATGTATTTGCAAAATTGGCCATTTTTTCGTGCAAAAACCAGGTGGTCGGTTTTTTGATGGGCAGTATAGTTCGTGGCCTACTTTATATTTCCAGTGCAGCAACCTACGGCTGTTTATTCCGCCCAGATTACAGGCTGATTATAAACATTCAGAAATTTGCATTTTATAAGCATGCGTTTACATTCTTTTACCGCATAATATAGTGTTTTATTTATCCGTAACATCCTGATTGCATTATAGTAAATGCTAAAAGACGTCATATAAAATTGTAAAGTGCATTCGACAAAAATATCTACAGCTCTGAAGTTGGAGACTGCATAGGCGTGTTTCTGTTGTTATCGAATGAATCGTTTTTTCTTGTTACGGGCAAACTCCATTATCGCAAGTCTTAACATTGAAATTATTGAGCCCGTTGCTTTCATGTTTTCAAGTAAACCTCAAATTGGTGTGGCGGAATTCACCGAAAATATTTATTTTTGTGCATGCAAATCTTTCGGTGACAGCATATTTCTTAATTATCTTATTTTCCCTGTTTAGTATCTGTCCACCTACCTACCAACCCATTCTAACTAATCATCTATCATATTTATCTATTTAGATTATATTCTTTCTTAATTACCTTTCTTATTTACTTATCCATGTTCCTACAGTAACTTGTAGGCATGTCTATATCTCCCTACCTACCTACATACTTATTTACTTATCCAGTTCTTACCTTATTCATCTCTTTATTTATTTACGTAGCTTCTTACTTACGTAGTTTCATTTATTATTGGCTTACCTACTTTAAAACCAGCCTATATATCAATTTATCCGGATATATTATCCTAGATATCAACATACTTGTATGTCCGCCGTTCCTTACTTACTTGTTTATTTGCCTAGTTTCTTAGACTATCACTCTATCTATTTATTGTGTGTCTATCTCACCCTCAACTTCTCTAAACGTCTTTCTATTTCTTGCCTGGAGCCATCACACACACACACACACACACACACACACACACACACACACACACACACACACACACACACACACACCACCACCACCACCACCACCCACCCACACACGCGCACCCTATCTTTCTCACCCTCTACCCTCTCTCTCTTCCTCTCTCTCTCTCTCTCATATACACACTCACCCACTCTTTCTCTCTCTCTCTTTCTCTCACTCACTCACTCACTCCCTCCTTCCCTCCCTCACTCACACACACTCTCTCTATTTTCTCTCTCTCTCTCTCTCTCTCTCTCTCGCTCTCTCTCTCTCTCTCTCTCTATCTATCTATCTCTATCTATCTATCTATCTATCTATCTATCTATCTATCTATCTATCTATCTACTCTCTACTCTCTACTCTCTTCTCTCTCTCTCTCTCTCTCTCACCCTTTCTCCTTCTTTCTCTCTCTCGCTCTCTCTTTCCTTTTTTACAAATTATTTACAGATTTATATGGAACTTTATTTCTTACCAAACTTCAGTTTCACACACACAGTATATATTTGTTTTAGACTTTCTCTGCCATATTGGGCGGAGCAGAGCTGTCTTGTTGCAAAATTGAGCCAGTCGAGTTCCTCAAAGAGCGGACGATTGCCTTCAGGGACCCGGCTACATTCAGGCCGGCCCAGGTGAGTAATTTTTCATCACCCACCCGGCCTTTTCGCAAGGCCCACCAAGGGGCTGGAAGCTGTGGCCCTTTTTTCTAAACGTGCCTCAACGTTATTTCTTTTCCACAGGATTTTATAAGAAAGTGGTCCGACGACCCGGCGGTCCAAGAATGGACGAGAGCGCAGGACGGACAAGGGATAATCCTCGCGACACCGAGCGTCCTCGTCGGCTACAGGGTACAAGTTTACAGGTCAGAGGGCACGACACAATGGTACACAGCGGTCATCGTCGGATACAACGAAGCCACAAGGGTAAGTGTTTTTAATTATTCTGATTTATTAACTGATTGACTACAACGCACGGATGGGCTAGAAAATTTGCACTCATTGCTGCTGACAGTTCTATTCGCATACTCATAAAATGACATTTTTTAAATTTTTATTAACTTTCATTTTCAAGAATTTTCAAAAACATTTTATGGCAAGCACTCAATATTTCTTAAAAGTTTTCTTCTGCTTAAGTTACTAAAGTTGTTTGTTAAAATATTGCATGCTTTAAGACTATCACAATTATTGGTCAATATCAACAACATCCACTTTTTTAAATAAAATTGGACCTTAGAAAATTGAACAGCTTTTAATTAACTATGTACATTTTCATCCTAACTTTTTTTTTATTACATTTATTTGGTATTTACAACTACAAGTGATGTATTAAGTAAATAAGTTCGTATATGTTGAATTATCATTTGAGGCTCTTGTAGGAGAAGTTGCCCAGTGGTAACACTCCTTCTCACTGATCTTGTTCAGTCTTCACACAATGAGAAGGTCTCGGGGCCAGTTTCGCTTCAATCGTCTTGGAGGATTTTCAGGTAGGGTTGGAAGTGATAAATTTCGTACGAATACATTACTGTGTGTGTTCAGTGATTGATGAAATTTTTTATATCGAGTTTTGATGAGTTCGTGTACAAACGGGATGTGTAGGTCTTTATGGATAGTGTAATTTGAAACGTAAAAAGGAGCATTTATAATTTGACGGAGAATTTTAGAGTGGATTGATTGGAGACGATGCATCCCAACTTGATAATTTTTTATAGTCGATTTGCTTTTGTTCTGCTGTAGTTCGCTAAACCCTTGGTTGTCTAACATGGCGTATAGTAAATACTGATCAAAATTAGCGAAGATTTTTCTTAAGTAGTTAAAAAGCTAAAAGTACATAATTTAGATAATGTTCTTTTGAATATGGTTTTCTTCTTTTGCATGTATTTCTAGGTTATTAGGATAAGAAAATAATATTTAAGATCGTGATTATGAGATTAGATATATAAAAAGTTACAAAAACCGAAAGACTTCCAGAAAAGAAAGGAAAGCATTTTTGTGAAAAAACAAAACATTTCTGATTAGTTTTCAACACTCTTAAACAAGAATTTTATAGCAATAGAATAGAAATCTTTAGGGTAGATTCGCTGGGGACAATTTTGTTTCTCGCTGATATCCAACGTTCCACTGAAAAATAACATGTTAAATTAGTAATGTGTGGTGTTTAGTGACCGTTAGCCAGTGATTATTTGTAGATCGTGAGGTGCGGTCTGGTGTGACGTAGGATTTAGAAAAAAATTTTCTTTATCGTGCCAACGTTTCGATCTTTATTGAGATCATCTTCAGGGCTCAATAAAGTTCGAAACATTGGCATGATAAAGAAAATGTTTTTTTAAAACCTACGTCACACCAGATCGCACCTCACGATCTCCAAATAATTAAAATAGTAATTGCGCTTCTTTTAGCCTTTGGTAACCAAGTGTAGATTTATGTCTTTATTACTGAGAAAAATAAGGATGAAATCAGCAAAAACTTCTCAGACGTTTTATTTTATATATCCGGAGGTAATTATATACGGAGCCCAAATTTGTGCCATTACGAATAGTTGTCAACTTTCCTTTGATTAGCGAAGTAGTTTTAAAGTTGTCACCATTTTTTTTAAATTTTCTAAAAATCGGAGGAATTTGGAAGACGAACGATTTCAGGGGAAAAATTATATCGTTGTTATAATTATAAATTAGTGCTAGTAGGGCTGATTAGATGCAATATTTAAAACAAAATAAAGTAAAATTAACAAAATCACACAGATTTATATAGCCTGAGTTACCTGGAGATGACTCCACATAAGCTAATAATAAGTAAAAAGCTCTGATGATGGCGTAATATTCGTTAAAAGCTTTGAGAAACTAAAATTACTGTATCATAGTCACTTCTGATCCTTTAAACAAAATAATAAACTGTTAGGTCGATCATGAGCTTAATATTTTTCAACTTAGTAGCACAACAAAAAGTTTCACTTAAATCGATGATTTCACGTCCGTAGCCTCACCCTGTCAGTCATTTGAAGACGATTGTTGCCAAAATTGAAGGTGTTTATTTATTTAAGGATTCCAATCCTGGAAGTAGTATATGCCAGCTGTTAAGTTATTTAAGATTTTAATTCAAACCTGTCAGTCCTGCTTTGAAGTTGGGCTACACTGTTGAATTTTCATATTTCACATATTCCCATATCGATTATATCAAATTGTTCATTTTTCTTAAAGTTAATAAATTACTCGGCATTTACATTAATAAGATACAAGTGTTATAAAATGTGTGTCTCATCTCTGTCAATTAATTTCGCTTAGTTACACGCTTTACCATTCGATACGTCTATTCTCTAATCAGATTATTATCAAGTTCATTAAATGTCACGTTTGATCATTACAGATAATCCCACGTTAAGCCAGTCTTATATTTTGTATTCCTTTGTAAAATGGTGTAACCGTTTATTGCAAAAAAAACACATCAGAGATAAGAGAATATTATTTAATCATGATAGAAATTGTATGTACATTCTTTCTCACCTCTCAGCCTTAAATGTTTTTCGATACATTATTTATATTTTATTAATTCCTCTGTTCGATATCAGAGAAACACGCTTATTCGTATATAATTTTCCAAGCTGGTTTATTGTTTAAAATTTGTTTGTTTGCCGATAATCAAGCTCGAACTGTTCATGAACTTGAAATAAGGGTAACTGGCTGAACCGTCTCGAATTGGTGGGGATCAGAGACTCTGAAGTTAGCTAAGGGCTTAAGTGAAGTACGATAATATATTGCTGAGTGTATCAACTTAAAACCAAAATTTGACCCGGACAGCGCCCCAACTTTATTGAAAGTGCGAGAAGGAGACGTGGGTTAACGTTCAAGCGACGAATAGGTCGAAATGATTAAAAGTTTAAATCAACAGGTTACTTTTACTCTGTTATAAAATGTGTTTACCTAATTATATGCCTGACCTAGAAATATTTACGTTTCAATTAGTTAAATATGTCAATTGTCCTATCTACGAAGATCAGTCACGTATCACCTTATTACTGAAACTTATCTTTATCAACCTAGCATATCACAGCATTGATGGCACAACACTACTAAATGGACGTATGCTCAATTCACAATGACCTGCCGCTCAGCTCTGTCCACAGCTGGGCAACTTTTATGGTAAACCATTGGGATCGAACCATAACATACGGAAGCTATTTTGATAGTAATACCAAGTTCGCGTAAAGATAAGCTCAGGCTTAAAATTCTCCTCCAAAATACTATTTTAGGAAGATATGACACCACTTTACTGTTTTCGACGGTGCACACAAAAATTGCAATTACCTCCAATTTTCATCTCTGATGATTTATCATTGACATACTTGTTGGCTACTTGCAGGAGCAAGGTCATCTGAAGACAGGTCCACATTGGTGATCTGAATAAATCTATCAGCAGACTGTGTAAAAAAGAGAATCGACCATATGGAGGCATGAAACATTTCATAGACAACACCCAAAACTTGAACTTCACAGCCCTTAGCGCTTCCCCCAAATGGAATAAAAGGCCTGTGAACACAGGAAACTCATGGGTCTATGAAACGAATAATAACAATAAATTGCGGCTGTCAGGTCATTTAACTGGCCATAACTAAAGCAGCTTTATTTTAAATGCTCTTTAAGCTATCGTTGTGTCACGAACATCGTTGTGGTATTTGGTTTGAGCGCCATCTCTCTTGATATTTTCTTTGGTACCCCATTCATTGACACACAAAGTATAATGGGACGTAAACCCAACGTTTCAAGGCTTTTAAGGATTATCTGTGATTAAACCCAGCCATCGGTATGGATGAATCTCAAAACTGTTGATATGAAAACCGTAAAGCCGTTTCTTTGATTTGCCCAAATGTTTCCTGGATTACTGAATCCATCAAGCAACGGGTGAGATTGCTTGATCGATTCTTCTTCCTAAATAATACGGAACTATCTATGGGGTTGACAGTGGTTGGGAAGAATTTGTACTTTATTGGCCGACAAAAGTTCTCCGCTGGGCTTCAAACCTTCCGCTAACACGAACTATGTGTTCTGGTAAGCCAACATAGGATGTTGTGTCAGAAAACATAGTGGATTGTGTGGAATGTGATATGTTTAACTAGTATTATAATGAACGACTTTTAAGGTGAAATAAGTTGGAAAAAAACTGGAACTAACACCCGACCGCATCTCACGATATCTGAATAACTATCGATTAACGGTCACTAATCTCTACTGGAACTAATGCAGTTGCATCTAGCCATTCTAGAAAAATGACACACATTTCTGGAAAAATTCAATAGTTCGGTTTAAAAAATTGAGCATCTAAGCGATGTACCATGTTAAACATAATCGTGTGTAAATGGTAGGACGGGTTTTCTGTTGCGGTTTGCCTCTGACGAGAGGTTTTCGTCCTTAATCCACTTATCATCATACCGGTGGGAAGAAGGGATTTCCGAGGGTTGTTTTCGGTAAGGGATGCTGCGTTCCTGGTGTAACCACTCTTCCGAAACGGAGAGGCCCCGAAGGGAGGATTATTATGTGAACCTCCCGGTCTCTTCCTATTGAGATTGGCTAACCGGCCGTGTGCGTTATCTCGAGGGCTTCAGCAGCCTCTGCACACTCCAGAAATCCCACCCTTCCCGCTGGTTAATGAAGGGAACCAGAGATTATTACTCCCTCGCCCCCTGGAAACGGTTTAATTAAAATTCTGTCCCGAATTGCATTCGGCCCCGGTCCTGGGAAAAACACAGACCACTAGACGGAAACGTATATCACCATGGGTTACTGCTGACACCTAAATTTTATACTTTATGTTTATTTTTACGCCACTTTTTTATTCGCCAGGTGTTCCGTTCAACGTGACACCGTTAATCGCCAATATCTCCTAAAACTAAACCATTTTCATTTATTTACAAACATATTTTATGCATGTCAACTGCGAAACAAACGTACGTTTTTATTTATTAGGTCCCTTGCGAATTTTTCTTTTAATAATCGTTGCAAAAAGTTCTATATTATTAGAATATTCTATGTGTTCCTAAAAGGATTAACATTGATCTAATTTTGTCGGATTAAGCAAAATTACTACTCTGTTTCTTTCTGTTTCTTTCTCTGTCTGTCTCTGTCTGTCTCTCTCTCTCTCTCTAACTCTCTCTTTCTCTTTCTCGTTCTCTCTCTGTTTCTCTCTCTCTCTCTCTCTCTATCTATCTATCTATCTATCTGTCTATTTATCTATCAATCTATCTATCTTTCTGTCTTTGTATCTATCTATCAGTCTCCCTCTTAGACACACACTCTCTCTCTTTCCCATCTATCTCTCTTTCTACCTACCTAAGTAGTTGGATGTGAAATATCTATCTCTATTTATTAATCAATCTCTATCCATCTTCTCTTTTCCCCCTCTCTCTCCTTCTAGTTCTACAGATTTCAAGGTCATTGTGCACCATCCTACAAGGGATTCGGCAGATTGCCCAAAGCCTTGCAGAGGGGGTAGGTCCGAAGCGAGGGCGAAAAAAGGGTCATGCCATTGTGCCGCACCACGGCCTCCGAAACGAAAACGAAAATCGGCCACACGTGAAAGGCACATATGTGCACCAGACGGCCATGCGTGACGATTAGCCACTGATTAATACGTAAGGTGTCTCTGGCGTGACGGACTTTTCGGCTCGACAACGGTCACGGAAGGCCCTAACTGGCTTGTTAGGGGTGTATTTTTGGAAAACACTGTTGTACTTTATCCAACAAAAAAATGCATTGAAAATTTAAGTAATTTCTAAATTTCAATACAACGAAAACTGCCGGTCTTATTTTTCGAAAACTGCTCAAAATGGAATAGGAATATTTGTAATTTATTCTTATTCTATTAATTTTTATTAAATTAACCGATATATTCTTGCTAGTTGGATAAAAGAAAATATTATGTAATATATATAAAATATTATTAAAGAAAACGTGTTTTGGGGTGAAACAACTTATCTTTAAAGATTTTAATAAAAACCCTTGTATTGTATATATCAGTAGATGCTATCAAGTTACATATTCCTTTGGACATCAATTAATAAATAGTACAGTTTTTGTGCATACAATTCTCATTTTCATTCCTTTAACCGCCTTTACATACAATTCAGCATTTATCGGTATAATAGATCAAAATCTATTGAAAAGGTAAATCCACTCTCACTGAAAATGTAAATATTTATGACGTAGGCATATTCGGACTAGAACTAAACATTTGAGAAATGATCTACGGCTTTATGTTGGAAAAAATTATAAACTGTTTTCAAACTGTCCAATTGGTGTTGTGACGATTGTCATCACTTTGAGAAGGCATTTCAACACCACATTCTGATTAAAGGGTACCTCATTAAAATGATCCCAGCTTTTACTACGTTTGTGTTAGGGGTAAAGAATTTGTTACTTGAGTATGCTTTTAAATTATTTATTTTATTGTTGTTACCATTGGCTATGGTGAATAGCACCCCGTGTAGCCCTGGAAGGTTGGTTCTGTCGAAAGGGTCTTGATCCCATTGGGTTAATTGTATTGTTTCAATCGACAGGGTCACTCCTGAACAAACAAGACATGTATAATTGGTAACCACGGGTTACCATTCACTAGACTTATCGATGTACTGGTTTTATTCGGGACTGATCTGCACGTTCTTGCTGTGCCTTCTCGACTGTCAAGACTAGCTGTTTAAAATTAAGTTCGCATATATTTAACCCTCAATTATTTTAAACGCAAAACAAAAATACGAATCCCAGTTCAATTGGAATAATCTTAACTGGTGTAGATATTTGCAATTTTATTTATGTGTAGAGATTAGTGACCGTTAATCGATAGTTATTCAGATATCGTGAGATGCGGTCGGGTGTGATGTAGGTTTCAGAAAAACATTTTGTTTATCGTGCCAACGTTTCGATCTTTTATTGAGATCATCTTCAGGGCCTGGGATTTACAAACAATGTTTACATTTATGATGTGGAAAAGTAATTTATACAATGCAAAATATATTTTATATTCAAACAAAGTATTTCTACTCACTCAGTGTTTGTCTTCTGTGTAATTGTGCCATCCTTGCGTGTCGTGTTGAGAGTGCCAGTGAGATTTTGCTGTTTTATGTTTATATATGTTTGGTGTTTAAGGGGTGGGGAAGGAAGTCGGTATATAAAAGACAATTTTGTGTAAGNTGTCTCAATAAAAGATCGAAACGTTGGCACGATAAAGAAAATGTTTTTCTGAAACCTACATCACACCCGACCGCATCTCACGATATCTGAATAATTTTATTTATTTTGAGTAGGTATCGTCTATAAATTTAAACCTTTCATAACCACTCCTTGTTACTTATCCTGGAATCTTATTTAACTGACCCCTGATTCAGACAGAGTACGCAAATATTAGAATACAAGGAAGCGTTCATGGTTTTATCCTTTATACTTACCTTATACTTTTGTGCTACTGTCTTTCCCATACATACCGACATCGTCATGCCAACTATATGTATGACCGCAATTTTGTCTTCCAACGCGAATCCTATCCTATAATTATTTAAAATCCAACAACACCTAGAGGTGACAAAAACTGGTGCAAAAAGTGGACAAAACTCAATGAGAAAAAATGAACCTAGTGTACATTTACGTTTAAAAACCCAAAAACAAAACAGTCTTCCATTAACAACTGCAACAACAAATTCATTCCGAATTCCATACAGTCAGATACTTGGGACTATATCTAGGCTCACGTGGAATCACACCAAAAAAGTTAACAACACCTTAACAGAATATTGAACAACTACGAAGACTTATAGGATTAAAATCTGATTGGCCGTCAAAACTTAACTAACTCTATGGAAGCCATTACTGAGACCACTTTACTTCCACAAGTTCATGATCCATTCTATCCCTACTTGCCAAGGAGTCTCAACACTTTCCCATCCCGAGAACGATGGCCTCGAGCCCACCTCGCCCCTTAATCATGATTAAGTGTAGTTGTTGTGATTGTCGTATTGATTCTCTTAACATATTTCCTCCGAGAGTATTGTCAGTGATTTCACTGGAAGAAAAAAAATCATATACACCTGTATGTATTTGTAATATGTATTGATATGTAAAGGCTACAAATATATTATTATTAAAAGAAATAATAATAATAATAATAAAAGTTTACATTTTGCGATATAGAAATGATTCAACACCATTCGATGAGATCTTTCTTTCCAGAGATTTAAAAAACATAGTGAAAGCTAATGAACGTTTAAAATCAAATAAAGGAAACCCTCTTCTTTCCCAAACATGCAGTCGTGGGCCGAAAAAGATATCCCTCGGATTCGAATCCCCAAAGGGCGGATCCAATTAAGCCCAGAGGGAGTCTGGTCGTCAAGGGAAAACATCTGAAAACTTTTTTTTAGCAACCACGCAAGGATTCTGCTTCCAAGTCCATCGATTCGCACCCCCTGGTACTTGCATGATTTATTGCCTAGGGGTTGTTTATGTGCAAGTTCAAAACCGGAAGTATTAAAGCCTTTTTTTTTACTCCATTCGGCTTTTCAACCTTCAGATCGAAACTATTCATTTCTCATTTTATGCATGAGATTTGACTGAAGAATCGAATTTGAAATTTTTTGGCTAGTGTTATACCTTTTTATTTTTTAAATCTTTTTTTGTCAATACATTCAGCTTTAAAATAAATTGTCATGTTGCAGGAGCTGACAGTCACAGATGACACGGTACTAGAAGACCACAACGAAGATCCATGCCTTGTTCAGATGCGGCTCATTGGAGACGGTGGTAAGCTATTTAATTTTATTACCGTTACATCCTTTTTTTTAACCCTCTCCGTCTTTCTACGCGTCCGTGACTTTTATTCACTGACGACTCTGTTGTGTCAAACCTTGCTGCCAGCTGAATAACAATCCATAGCCGGGCGTTGGTGGATTACGCATTCAAGTGTGCGCCGAGTAGTCCGTCCCGGCGGTCCGGTCTCATTTCGCCGGCTCATCCGGCTTGCAAGCAAAACGTGTAGGTTTTGGCAAAAAGTGAAAAAAAAAAACCTAGGATTATGGAGGAGAATTCAATTTTACAGAAGGACCGAGGGAAATTCTGCGGTTTTTTTGCTTGTTTCCAACTCCTCCGGACGGGTTCCACCGGCAATTTCCTGCCGTCTGCATGCCCCGGAATGAAATATCGTTGTAATATCCACCTTGGAGGGCACGACCTCTGAATCCGGTATTATTGTAATAACAGCCTCCGCTCTCTCCTCACTATACGGACAACTATTTTTATTAGAGAGTTGTCATCCGTTCGTTTTTCCCAATTTATTAAATTAAAATAAAAAGATTTTTGGAAGGCACAGGCACAAATATTGTATTCGGTTTCGATTTCGAAAAGGAATTGTACTGAAAATTTACGGTAGTTGATCATTATGAAATAGAAAACGAAACACTCCATAAATATCTCTAGAATTTCTCTACAAACAAAGTCTTGTTCTAGTGAGTTTTACAAAAATTATAAATAATAATGCAAAAATGCAACAGCAATGATACCACAAATACTAATTTTCATAAAAAGAAAACTTGAAATTTCCCTATAAGAGTGAAAGGTTGAAGAAAATGCAGATTACCTACCAGAAAGTATTTTAAAATTTCTTAAACAGTTTTCATTTTTAGTACTTTCTCATTTCGAAATTTCCAAACCATAATTCTTTAAAGCTCTAACAAATCTCCGCATGCGAAAATACACATATGGCGCCAACAGGCGTTTATCATTTTTATAACAAAAAAAATTGCAAGGTTTTATCGGGAGGGTAAAACAGTTCAGGAAATGCTACCGTTAGTGAGGACAGCTTCTTCAACTTGCCAGCTATACAAAGTAGGTCTTATTGGCGGATATTCGTTTGTGTGGCTTTACCTTAATATTTTAATATTAAGATAAAGTTGACAATATAAGAAAAATGCAATGGAAAAATCACACGCAGATTAATCACATAAATTCGTAAAATTTATCTAATAAATTCTTCCTCATTTTCAAGTTGTGGGGGTATCGATATCCAAAACCGTTAATTATTTCTCAATGCATCTTTTTTGGCTATACTAGGTCGAAAATTTTAGGGGCCTAGAAAAAATTAACTTACATAATTATTTTTAAATATGGTTTTCTCCCTTCTTATTTTGTATAGTACATGCTTTCCAAATTACATAGACGATTTTGTTATTTTACTTAGTATTGAAAAAAATATTCAGGGTTGTATTAACTGAGATTAGATATTTAAAAAGTTACAAAAACCAACTACTTCCAATAAAGTAGTCCACAAAATTTATTTTTTAAAAACAAAATTCGGATTCGTTTTACGCACCATTTAAAACTCATAAATAAGAATTTTCATAACCATAAAATGATACAAAATTAAAGCTGGATTCGCCGCGGGCAATTTTTTTCCACTAACGGCCAGGGGTCACTTAAAAATTCATAACACTGGATCTGAATTTTATCCAAATTTAACGTTATTAAAATCGTCAGAAAGCTTGATTTCTCTTCTGTGTGTCAACAAGGTTCAGATTGTATGCCATTATAAGTAAGAAAGGTAAGAATGAATTTGACAAAAGTTTCCCCAAACGTTTATTGTATTTTACATCTAATGTTCTGGTTTATTTACTAAGGTTGGTGCTGTTAGGTTTAGTTTATAGGATTCTAAACCCTGTAAGGGTTCCTGAAGATCAAAGGTGTCGTTTCAGAGTTGCTACACCATTTTTGTGATTTTCCAAGCAACTTCGCGAAGTCGTTTCAAGTTTATCGTTTTTGTGCTTTTCGAAAATAATCGAAAACATTTAAAGTAGAACAATTTTAGAAAAAAAATCAGTTTTTTCCAAAAATCTATACCTACTTTGCCAAAACACGATAAGTCCATTTGCGACCATCTATCCATTGCAAATTCGATGTATTTATTGAAATAAAATACCTAATTATATTGTGACCAATCGACTTAAGTTCAAATATGGCGTGAAACGAAATTGATATTGATTGGGGAACCCCTCCCAAAATAAATAAATAAATAAAATTCTAAGAAAAATTATCAAATGAGGCAATTTCACTGCAATGTAGCCCAGCGAAAATATATTACAATGAAAAGTAAAGTTTAGCTTACTATATGTGTTTAAAATAAAAGTAAACCAGTTCAAAAATGAAATGCAACCGGTGTCCATAATCCATTCGGTACGTTATCAACATAACTTTATGAATTGAACATTAAAAAAATGTGTGGTGTTTAGTGACCGTTAGCCAATGATTATTGGGAGATCGCGAGATGCGGTCTGGTGTGACGTAGGTTTTAGAAAAACATTTTCTTTATCGTACCAACGTTTCAATCGTTATTGAGATCATCTTCAGGGCTCAATGTGTTTGTTTTCCGTGTACATATGTCATTCTTGTGTGTCGTGTTGAGTGTGCCCCCAGTGTGAGTTTGAGCCTTGAAGATGATCTCAATAAAGATCGAAACGTTGGCACGATAAATATTATGTTTTTCTAAAACCTACGTCACACCAGACCGCATCTCACGATCTCCAAATAATCATTAAAAAATTTATGAGTTAAACAGAAAATTAGGACAAGTAACATATTGCGCTTTTTAATATATTTTGTATTGGTGAAGATATTTAAATTTGGATATAATTTTTTTAAATGGATCTGCTAATTTATTATTGACTGATTTGATTAAACATAAGGCACTGCTAACTGAAGGTACTTTAATAATTATGTGTTTCATTATTAATGGAATTCAAATCCCTCGGTACCAGGAGTTCTATTTATAAAAACGTTAAACTCAGTTAATTTAGAATTTAAAGTTATCGAAGTTAAGTGAGGATATTTAAAATTTAATTATGTTAGGGTTTGTATAGATTATAGATTATAGATATTCAAAGCATTCGTCGTTTTTACCTATCTGGGCGAAAGACCTAAAATGAAATAGTTATCTGACCTCTGACTTCTGACCAATCCTCAAATAATTTTCCTTGTGAACCTGCATTTAGTTTTCTACTTATTTTGATATGATGTTTGTAAATGGTTTTTTCCATGATATAGTAAATAATAAAACAACCTCGGTCTTTTGTGTACAAAAAATGGCAAAAAAGGTATATTTTTATTAAAATTTAAGTTACATTTGCCATTTTATACAAACAAATAGTAATAGTAAAATTAGGTATAATATACAATACAAAATTGCTTACATTTTTTACGTAAATATTGTTAAAGAAAACATCATGATTGCAGGACTGTCCTTGTTACATTATCAATATATAATATGTATGATGATGAAGTGTTGAATAGCTGAAGTGGGTCCAATTCCCGGTGTTGACCGTCTTGTCTTCTACGTCCTGAATCCTCTGAATGATTATAGCCTTCTTTTAGAACATAATATATGATTTAATTTATACTTATTTTTTATATTTTAAAACTCTTATTTTTGTCAACAATAGGCTAATTCTGCCCTTTGTTTAGCGCCATAACAAATGATTGTATTTTTTATCAGGAACTTTAATCAAATGTATTCCGATAAAAACATTTTAAGTGAAAATTGAAGTGGGTCGATTTCATGTTCGGACTCCAAAACGGGCGGAAGACAACGGAAATAACTGGCGGAATAATTCTAGAAATAGAATTCGGTAAACGCTCTCGACCTGCTAATCCGACGGCAGTGCCAAGACGATTTCCTAATCCGATTTTCCTCGTTGGAAAAAGGAAAAGAGTTCTGGGTCAAATGATTCCCCCTTCTTTTTTTTCTCGGAGTGAACAAAGCCAGAACTTTCATAGAAAATTACTGGGACTGGGTTCAAGGCCCTTTGCCGCAACCCTTTCTTCCCCATCCTTTTTTTTACTACCCATATAAATTCGCATAACGACTGTCGACTCTTTGAAACAAAGGGCTGATTCCGCACTCGTGAGGTATTTCATAAAAGTCTTTATTGCCCCTTTTAGCTCAATATTAAATCCCAGCTTCGGGATTAACTTTTATTAAAACGCCCTGGGGTATTTTTCGCTTTGGGCCCAGATAATATTAATAACACTCAGAAAATGTAACATCTCTTTGATAGTTCAGTAAGTAAATATTAATATAGTGTCTTCTTACTAACTGATCCAAAGAATCTGCAATACATTACCGTACCCACCTACAAAATTGTGCTATCTTGGCTCTTTGTACGGAGTTTGTGGAAATTCCAAACTTTCTGGCTAAAGTTTTGACCAAGTTGGCTGGAAGGAAAGTTTAAACATCACACTCCCGTAAATCAAATTTTATAGAATTTTCTTGGGGTGACCCCATACCAGCGGACACCAAATTATTTTAATTTAAAAACGAGGAAAGGTGTTAAGTTTACTATAAACGGAAAGAATGTCTAGTTTATCGAAATGTTAAAGGACTGGCTAAAGTTCAACCATGCTCTCTACGAAAGAATATATCACATTTTCCGAAAAACTGGTATAAATAATAAAAAGAGCTTTAGAAGAGAAACATACCTCCTTTGTTATCTCTAATATATATACTTGTGCTATTGGCCGAGTTAAGCTAGAAAACGAGAACTCGAAACTTTTAGAAATAAAGGCTGGTATTTCCCTCGAAAGCGTCCTAGGACTAATTCTGAATCTGCTTTACACTACAGACCTGTAAAGCTATAGCAACGCAGATGGCTCTTGAGCCTTTATCAGCAGAAAAGTATTGAACATCGACAAAGCAAAGTGCTAAATATGAGCAACCTGATTGGCATGTGAATAAAAGAATGGAAAATTAAAGGTATGAT